TATATATATATATATACAAAGATTTAGACACGAGGGGCAACAGTTGGGGTGAAATTGTGAGAGAGTCGCGTTCTCTAACCTTAATGGATCTACCAAAAGTTTAAACTTTAATATATAGGTATATAAGGTAATTGTGAGAGAATCATAATTCCAACAATGCTCAAATAGTTTTCTAATTGATTCTATGACACTAACAAGACTATAATTTATTTTATGAAGTTTCCACATTATTAGAAATTGTAGGCTTGTATAGCATTATTGACCTTAAATGTTATACCTTCAATTTGTTTCAATTCAGTCCTTAATTCCAATAAACAACTTGTAATTTAGGTTGTGCGCTGTCTTGAAGGACGAAAAGACGTTTTCTATTCCATTAATGCAGAAAAATTCATACCAAATTAAAATATGTGTAGAAAAGGTGGGACTTGCATCTGCTTAATATGTTTATATTTCTTTTAGCACTCAACATTCAATATGTGATTCTCTTGTTTCAATATTGCAGGAATATTGCTCCGATATCTCCCAATTTTGGTAGTTTTCCTGTTGTTATTGTCATGTACAACCTTTCATATATATCGTGTTACTACTTTGACATAGAAGGCACTTTGCCTTACAATAACCTACATATGTGGGGTTGCAAGTAATAGTTGTATATTGTAGGCTAAATTTGAGATTTTAATATTATATGATATAATTTATTCATATTTTAGTTTTATATACAATAAAAAAAGGGTTTAATTTCACTTTTTTACGGACAATTTTGGTTCCCTATAATTTAAATATTTGGTTTCGGTCCTCTATTTTTAAGAATGAACAATTTTAGTTCACTAATTAAGTTGTCATTCAATACTTAATAGAGATACTTGTTGGAACCAGATGCTTGTTATAGAGATACTTGTTGGAACCAAAAGCTTAACAAGCATCTAAAACTTCAAGATAGTGTTTTGGTAATAACTAATAAATAAACTTGATAAATTTTGTGATAAAAGCTTTAAGAAAAGTATTTGTCGAAATCCTGTTTGGTTAATGAAGCGTCTAGGGTTCATCATTTTACCATAAGTGTGGGTTCATCTTTTTATAACATAAGTGTCCAAAGAATGTTATTTATAATGTAATCAATGTCTAAATATATTTTCTAGATGAAGCGGCTCACGTTTTTAAATTGAATATCTTTGATAAAAAAAGTTTTTCTTAAACTGTAGTTCTTTATCTATCAGACAATGCTTTTTATCTTAGGAAAATGTATACATAGTACAAATCAAATGCTCTGGAATATATCTTTATATTTGCATGAAATATCTTTTGGAATATTTATGTATTTATTGATAAGAAAAAGTTTTGTTAATCTCAGAACTTGTTCAAAAATTCCTATCATCAACAAAGGAAAGTAAGTTAAAAGTAGTGATAGTAGGGACATTCATTATGCTGATTAATCAGAAGAGAGAATACCTTGATAGGTATGAATTTGTCACTTGTATTGCTAGGTTAGACTTTCTCATCAAAAGTTATGTGAAGGTTCATTTATACATTGAAAGTATTTCAAACAGGAAGAAAATTCTTTCTCTGAATGGATCTCTCACTCCCATCTATATAATGAAGAATTGGAGATGATACAAGAAGAACTTTTGATGATCAATATGTTTAAATCTATACTCTCTGTATAAAGCTTTATTGGAAGATCCTTACACACTTGTAAAACTTGTTTTATTTGATATCAAGTATTTTAATTGTGCTTAAATTGGAAGCTCACTTCTGTGAGTATCTTATCTTTTTACACTCGTTGTAAGTAATCTCAATTAAGGGTTTACATATTGTCAACTCCCTTTTTATGTATTTGTTTTCACTTTATTAATAAAGAATAATCAATGTTGAAGTGGGATACTCTCAGTTTGACACGTGCGAATTTCTTTACCAGCATATGACCCTAATTTTTGAATTATTTGTGATTGAATCCATTCTAATACACATTTATCCTAAAATAATCTAACTATGACATTTCCCTAAACCTATCATCATTCTAATGTTTTCATCATCTTCTAATACTAACAACAAAAGTCAACAAAGTTAGGAACCAACTTTTAGTCATTAGACCATTAATATCAATCCCCTATATCGTGTTGATTCATATCCCATTCACTAACCAAAAACACAACAAACCTTTTTTTTTTTTTAGATCAATCATACCTTTGTTAGAATCCATCACACTTACCTCTTTGTTGTTTTCCCACTTTTGTTTGACAATTACCATATATATAAAGGTCCTCACCTCATACATGTTTTTGATCATCTTCACCTAAAAAAATTATTGAATAACTATGAAGCACCATTTCAAAGCCAATCATTATTGACATAAAACCCAAAATTGTTTCAATCTATGAGCAAACTCAACACCCTACGTGTAACATCATGTTTCTTCAAATTAATAAATATGAATTAAATTAGAATAATTAGAAATAAAAATAAATATATTTTTTTTATTAAAATAACCATGGAGAGCTCATCAAAGGAGGCTGTAGGGAATATGTTTATATT